CTGTGTCTGCAGTGCTCACCTTTCCAGGCTGTGACCATAAAAATCACAGAATCACAGAATAATTAACGCTGGAAAAGCCCTCCAGGATCACAGAGTCCCCCCTGTGCCCCATCCCCACCTTGTCCCCAGCCCAGAGCACTCAGTGCCACGGCCAGGCCTTCCTGGGACACCTCCAGGGATGGGGACTCCAAACCTCCCTGGGCAGCCCCTGCCAGTGCCTGAACACCCTTTCCAGGCAGAAATTCCTCCTGCTGTCCAACCTGAGCCTCCCCTGGCACAGCTGGAGGCCGTTCCCTCTCCTCCTGTCCCTTGTTCCCTGGGAGCAGAGCCCAACCCCCCCCGGCTCCCCCCTCCTGTCAGGGGGTTGCAGAGTCAGAAGGTCCCCCCTGAGCCTCCTTTTCTCCAGGCTGAGCCCCCCCAGCTCCCTCAGCTGCTCCTGCTGCTCCAGCCCCTTCCCCAGCTCCATTCCCAGCTCTGGACTCTCTCCAGCCCCTCAGTGTCTCTCTTCCATGAGGGCCCGGAACTGGACACAGGACATCAGGTGCAACCTCACCATGGCCTCACCATAAGTTTGTAAGTCTCACTCATCCCCCTTGCTGCCTTCTCTCCGAACTGAGAAGCCCCTTTAGTGTCTCTTCCAAAGCAACAGCTAGAAATCAGTATAATGTGGTTGATGGTTCTTGACAAAACTTGTAATTGAGCTGTAAAATCCCTTGCCATGGGATATTATGGATGCTCCAAGTTTACTTGTGCTCCGGGGGTAACAGAAGAAGTTAATGGAGAGGAGTTAAAGCATAACCTGTTAAACAGTAAAACCAGGCATTGTGACTCAAAAAGTCCCAAGACACATATTGTTGGAAAACAGAGTAACATTCCAAGAAAGCACCACTGCAGGCCTGGTGTGTTCCTGAACTCCTTCCCCGGGCATCTGGATTGAAAAACAGCTGCTGGAGCAGAGGAACCTTCACTCTGACCCAGCACAGCCTCTGTTATGTTCTGTCAAAAGAAAATGAAACCCATCTGTGGATGTAAACACTTGTGATGGTAGCGGTGAGCACAGTCAGCACGAGCAGGGAAGGCTGAACTGCTCTCCCCACTCCATCAGCAAACAATGCATTTTGATTTGAATGCTAATGAAGATCTCACCACGATGCTGTAGAGTCTCATCCAGCAATATAAAGAGAAAAGCTGCATGGTAGAAATAAAGAGAGGGGCTTTAGAAAGGGATGAATGTGTGCTGTAAAGATTGATGTCGTTAACCACTCCTGGGTCAAAATATACTTGAAGCTACTGATGTAATTTGAAGTGGGTAAACCAGGCTTAGGAAGAAAGTTTTCTTACAATTGCTGCATCTGTTATGATCTGAAAAGGAGAAGTTTGTATTTCTTGCATCCCTTTAACTCCAAATGATCTGGGCTTTGTTGTCAAAAAACAGTTGCCTTCCACAGGCATCTAATCGAGATCTCTTTTGCTTTTTGGATCAGAGCTGAGACAAGCTTCTTTTACAAATTTGTGCTGCAGTCTACTAAAAGAGCTGTTCCTTGCCAGGAGAATATTACATACAGTTCTGAGAGAAATGAACAGAGTCAGCTTGTTTGAGAGCTAACTGATGCTTACTCACAACTCTGATAAGCCTGACATTTACTGAGAAGTGCCACAATTCTCAGTCCACTAAAAATTCCCAAGAGGATTTTTTTTTTTTTTGCAGTGATGCTTCACATTCTATTGATTCAGGATAAGCTGGAGACTTCTAAAGTGTTTTTTAGTCAAAAAGTAAAGCAATGTGGAGCCCAGCTCCTCCGCCTGCCTTCCATACAGATGTACCAGCCTGCCTTGGCACATTTGTTAATGGCTGTGGTATGTTTAATGATGCTCTACAAGTTGTCAGCGCCTTCTGTGTCATATTTCATTCCTGTAGTGTATTAAAAGCACTTCTGCAGGAGTTCTTGGGGCCTTGATTGAAATTACAGAAATTAGACTTGGAATGATGCCACTGAGCACCTCCCCAGAACAGCCCAAGCTTGCAGGGAAATACCTGTTTGGGACACCAGGCAGGGGACTGGGCTGTGCTTTGGCTTTCTGGGGCATCCCCAATATCCATGCAGGATTCTTCTGGAATAGGCCCTGCCTGAAAAACGCTATCAGGAGGCTCTTGAGTGTTCAAGTAGATTATGTCAAGCAGTTCCCTTTTGATCATTATTATAAAGATATGTTCAAATAATTCTGAAAGACTAGTGATGCAAAATTTCCATTAGAGACACTGTGATAATTAACTTCTACCATATCATACTCCTTATCTAGGAATTCCATTATTCTGCTTCTATTATCATTTTGACCAACTTTCAATGTACAAAGCTCTTTCTCTGTCTCATCTTTTATCTTTTTTAAGTAGACAAGAAACCCGAATAGTGGCTAGGAATTTTCTGACAAAATTGTTTTTCAGGGGAGAAAAAATTCTTATTTATCAAAACTTGAACTTTTCACAGGAACATATGTTCCAGATGTCAAGAGTTGCAAAATCCATCACTTCAGGTGGTAGTTTGTTCCCAAATTTAATCATCACTGCTGTTAAAAAATGTGTGTTTCATTTCTGGTTTGAATCACTTTCATTTTTCAGCCCTTAGTCTTTCTTCTGTCTCTGTGAGATTAAAAAGCGTTGGTTGATATTTCCCCCTTGTGAAGGTGTTTATCGAGTGGCCCCTCAATTGAGCTGTTTAAGTTTCCCAGTTACATGTTCTTCTCTCCTCATATTCTTTTTATGGCTCTTTTCTGCCCTCAGTCTAATCTTTCAACAGCATTAAATGGGAACACCAGAATTAGATCCACTGGTGCTTTCAGTGCTGCTGTGCTGGGGGAGTGGGCTCCTTGTTTCCGAGCACCCCTCCCGTCTCATCGCGCTTTCCCTGAGCATTCGTGGGGAGCTCTGTGCCCACTGACACCTCTCGAGTCATAACCATTGCACTCCAAGATGGAGTTTTGTGTTCCACATTCTCTGCTGGTTCATTGACTGCCTCTTCTTGAACTCCCTCCTCTTGCACCTTGCATGAGATTAAGCAGAGCAGCCTCTCCGTGGCTGCTCAGGCTCCGAGAGCTCTGCAGAGCAGCCAGCCTCTGTTTCTATAAATTGGTTCTCTAACCTTTTTTTTTCCCTTTGTGCCATTATATCGATTTATTTTATGAATAATAGAGGTGCCCATGTTTAGTATTTCACCTCTCAGCATTAAGCACTCAGTCTTCTTTCTCTGGTGACTGATGGGATAACTGGCCTCATATATTTACATTCTTACTGCCAGACACTTTCAGTGTATAGTCTTTTCCAGTAAGAATTTTAGCCTGACTAGATTCCTTAAAACATTCTCTTTGATATAAAAAAAGAACCTTTCCCTTTTATGACTTATACTCTCTTTTCTGTAGTTTATGGCCATATACTGTAGTATACTGTTAGTTTTGTCACTGGGATTTACTATTTGCTGCTGATTTTATTACCTGTGTTTTACTTCGTTTGGTTTTGTGTGTTTTTTTTTTTTTTTTTTTTTTAATTTAACCCCCCCTACACCTCAATTTTTTAGATTTATAGTTCTTAATTTGGGGGGCAGCTTTGTTTAGCTTCTTAGTCCATTTTGATACAATAAATTTCACCTGGGAGCTCTTCCACCCCTGTACTAAGCTCTTTCTCTGAACTACAGGGATACAAAGAGTGTTTGTGTTGTACCAACCCTTAGCAATCTGTTTACCCTTAACTCATGACAGATTTCCCCCAGCTCCCACTTAATTAAACTCATCATGCATGTTTTCCTTGCGAAAAGCCTGATTTCACCGCGGAGTTTTGATGGAGCCCATCACCCCCGGTAGCGGCTCCTTCCCCGGTGCCTAATTGGAGCTGCGTGTTGAAGTGGAAGGATTTCAGAGGAACTGTCAACAGCACCCTGGGGCTAAATCTTCCAGCCAGCAGCCTGACTTTGCCTTCCAGGATCCTTCACTCGCATTTCCCTTGCAAATGTGTGACATGCGGCGGGACCTCGTGCTCCTCCCCGGCGCTTCCCGGGTGTCTGGTGAGAGGCCCCGGCGTCGTCTCCCTGTAATCTGTCATCACGTGTGCAGCTGCCACTGTGCCCCTGGTATTTAAACCCCCAGCAGCACAGGGGAGCGAAGAGTCTCAACTGAAAATGTGTTTTCAGGTAGAGCCTTCCTGGAGTTGGCAGCTTGATTTTCCCCGGCTGGAAGGCGCCGTCCTGCTGTGTTAATACAGTGTCCTGATGTGCTGCCCCGTCCCTGGAACGGCTCCAGGCCACCTTGGACGGGGCTTGGAGCTACCTGGTGTAGTGGAAGTTATCCCTGCCCGTGGCAGAGATGGTCTTTAAGCTCCCTCCCAACCCAACCCATTCCACGATTCTGTACTAAACCATCAATTGTGAGAGCAGAGCAAACACTCTGAGCTGGGTCTTATCCCTCATGTCCTTTTACACTGGTTTTGTGCTTTATATTTGTTCTCTCCTTGTCTCTCCAGATCAGCAGCTCTGGCCTCAGACAGCTCTGGGAATGTGCTGTGAGAGCCATGTGGGCAGTGCAGGCAGGAGCTGAAGCAATTACTGGAGCATTAGTGACTGCCCTGCCTCGTGGAAGGCAGGTGAGATCACTGAGCGCTGTCGAGAGGCAAACACAGTGTAACTCTCTTGAAAAAAAAGAGAAACCAGAGAATGAGAGACCACTCTTCCCAGAAATAAGTCTGAAAAAATATTATATGATCAATTTAAAGCAAATAGAAGATGAAAGGGGGAAAAAAAAGGACATAGATTTACCGAGAATTAATCGTGCGATCTTACTGTAATTTCCTTCTTTGAGAAAATAATGTCTAGTAGATGAAGACGAGGCAGCAGATGGGACATATTTTGCTTTAGGAAAGCTTTTGAAACTGTTCCACATGATTCTCTCAGAAGCAGACTAAAGAAATATGGTCTGTATCAGTGTGCCCAGTATTTCTGGCTGGGTGAGACACTTACCTTGTTTCTGGAGAAGGGAGAGCCCATCTGTTGCAGCCCTTCCTCTAATGGATGGTTGCATTGTGCAAGCAGAGAAAAGCCAGAGTGTCCTGGGGCAAGGAGATTTATTGCAGTTGTGTGGGCAGATTCACAGTGCCATGATCAGAGGCACTGAGTGAGCTCCCAGCAACAGTGCTCTGCGCTGTGCTCAAAATAGCCCGTCCAGCAGCAGCCCCCCTGCTGGACTCTGGATCCACGAATGAGGGAGAAACCACAGCCAAATTCCTTGTCCAGGCTTGCCCTGTGCAGCTCAGAGCTTGCACTCCATCATTTAGAAGGTGTGTGATTTTACCAGAATCCCAGAATATGCTGGGTTGGAAGGGACCCACAAGGATCATCCAGTCCAACCTCTGGCCCTGCACAGGCCCAGCCCCAAGAGTCACCCCCTGTGCCCCAGAGGATCAGCCAAACCCTCCTGGAGCTCTGGCAGCCTTGGGGCTGTGCCCACTGCCCTGGGGGGCCTGGGCAGTGCCCAACCAGCCTCTGGGGGAAGAACCTTTGCCTGAGATCCAACCTGAGCCTGCCCTGACACAGCTCCAGCCATTCCCTGGCTGCTGTCCCTGGTCCCCCCAGAGCAGAGCTCAGTCCCTGCCCCTCCTCTGCCCCTGCCCAGGCATTGGAACTGCAGTGAGGTCTCCCCTCAGTCTCCTCTGCTCCAGCTGAACACACCAAGTGCCCTCAGTGTCCTCCCACGCCTTCAAATCAAGGCCCTTCCCCATCTCCCTGTCCCTCCTTTGGACACTCTCCAATGGCTCAATCTCTTCCTTCCATTGTGTCCCCCCAAACTGCCCCAATGTTGAGGTGAGGCCGCCCCAGGGCAGAGCAGAGCAGGACAATCCTCTCCCTGGTGCCCCAGGACAGGGATGTCCCTCCTGGCTGCCAGGGCACTGCTGACTTAGGGACAACTGGCCACTGACTGGACCCCCAGGGCCCTTTCCCAGCACTGCTTTCCAGCCTCTCATTCCCAGTCTGTACAAACATCCAGTTTGCCCCATCCCAGGGTAGAATCCAGCACTTCCCCCTGGTTGAACTCCCATGGTTGGTGATCACGTGGGTGGCAACTCTGCCCTGTGACTGGGAGGCTGTTTTACTGCAGCCCTGCTGGTGTGTGTCCTCTCCCCAGTTCTATGCAATTTTTTAATTAATGACCTGTATGTTTTAACTCATAAAATTTCTGGGGAAACCGGGGTGCACTTTGAAGGTCAAGATGAGATTTCTAATGAGCTTGAGAAACCAGAGACAGTGATGCAGAAATCAACAAATAAATAGAAAGAACTGCTCTGTGCCACACTTATGAAAGAGGAAACATCTACCAAAATATATTAAAAAAAGGTACAACTGTCTGCCTGAAGCGTGCCAGGAACAGATATGGGAATTAGAGAAAATAAAAAATTAAACATGAGTGAGCAATCACAAAAGTCTCATACTGGGAGGTGTTAATGGAATGTGTTATAAAACACGGGAGAAAATCTCATTTTCTGCAGTGCTGTTGAGGGCTCTGCTGGACTTTTGTGTCCACACTTGGTGCTAGAGGGAGCTGGTGGTGTGAGTGATGTGGGTACTGAGGAGAGGAGTGAATAGGAAAGACACTTGAAAGTGGAATCACTGTTATAAATTTTCACGGTACCAGACGAGCAGATTCTGAGTCGTTGGTGAGGTGGCTTTTACAAGAGAGATAAGCTACATAAATCAACATGGACTAGATTGCAAACTAGGCTTTAACATTCAAAAGCAATGAGGTATTTTTATAGTTGACAGTTGTGGAAACTCACCAAATAAACAACTGCACATGGCTCCAGATCCAACTGCTCTTCCAGAGAAATGAGGAAATTCGTGTAAAGTAGAAAAATGGAAGAACTGAAATCAATAGCATGCAGGAAGGAAATAGCAGAGAATGGTCTCAGCAATTAAAGCCCCAGTTAAGCAGGTCCCTTGAAAAATGGGCAATTAGATCAATGAAAAATGTAAAAGTATATCCATACAAGGGCTGTAACTCTGAAGCCCAAAAGAGGTGAACTAGACTGATTTCAAAGGAAATTATTGACATAATAAATGCCTCAGAAACTTGGCAGAAGGGTAGGAAACTGTAATAATAGGGAACAAATTACAGAGGGAGGCTGGAAAGGGGTGCATTAGTGGTGAAGCCGTGGAGAGCATGAGGAATTGTCCCTAAATGAAGTTCCAGCAGAGGACATTCTGGAACAAATCAATAAAATGAGCAGTCAGAAAGCACCAAGATAAGATGATACTCAATCAAGAGTTCTGAAAGACCTCAAACACTAGATTAAGAGAAAGCTAAATGTAGCATGAAAAGTGTCATTTAAGTTGACCACACTGCAAGAAGGATGGAAAGTGGCAAATGTGTCTTCAGCCTTGAGAAAAAGGTCTCCAGGACAAATGTGGAAAAGCAGAGATCAGTAAATCTCGCTTCCAAACTGAATAAGTGGGTAAAAACTACAATAATAAAGAAGAGAACCAGTAGGCAATTTCATAAGTGTGATTTATTTGGAAAAAGTCATTACAGTTCTTGCAGAAGGAGCCTGTGTCTCATAAATCTATTTGAACTCTTTGAAGATGTCAACAAGCTTGTAGGTAAGGCTGATCTCGTTGATAAAGTGCTCATGGACTCCCAAACAAATGTCAATAAGTCTTTCCTCAAAGACTCTTAAAGTAGTTAAGCTGGGATAATAAGATGTCCTCTTGTAAGTAAATAAGATGGAGACAAAATGGGACAAAAAGTGGGAGAAAAGATGGGTTTTCCCGGTGAAAGGAACTCTGCAGCTTAGTCATGCAACTCTTTGATTTAGGATTCAGAAAGGGGGGTGAATATTGCAGTGATAAAATTTGTGGATGACAAGAAATGAGCTGAGACAGCCCAGGCTGACCCTGGGAAGAGAAGCAGATGGTTCTCGTGGCAGTGAGGGACCGTGTCAGGAGCGGATGGGAAAGTCAACGCTAATAAATGCAAAGTAGTTTGTCTGGGAATATACATGCTCAATTCTATATTGTATTCCCTCAATTATGGAGTGAACAGAACGTTGTTATCACCCAGAAATGGAGCTGCTGTAGGAAAACTCCATGAAAACGTTGGTACAACGGCCACAGCAATAAAACATTCCAGCTGAATGAGAGACATTTTCAGAAAAGGGAAAAAGGAACAGGAAAACACCATTATGTGATTATGTCACTGTATAAATGTTTGGCAAACCCACCTATTGATTAATATCTGCAGTTCTGTTCATCCTGTCTTCATACAGAATAAAATAGAACTAAAAAGGGTGGGTGGGAGTTATTTAACTCAGAGATTTAGACACCTAAATTTAGGTTTCTACCTGTAGGTGTCAATCTATGAGGTAGATACCTAAACTCCAGCTCTAAATCAAATTTTTTTAATCTGAATTCCACCCACAGAAAGTAGATGAGGACAGAATGATTTTTGAATCAGGACAGAAAACAGTCAGCCATGGGACAGAGACCATGAGTTAGGAAACAGTAAGAGAGGGTGGCTACTTTTTTTAAGAATAGGAAAAGTGCAGGATAACACATAAAATTATGGGGCATCAGGTCTAAATCAGAAAGTCATACATTCTCATATAACTGATTATTAAATTGCAGAACTTATTGCCTGAGGCTGTTGTGGAGGTCAAAAGTATAAATGAATTAAGAGTTGCTGGGAGGCTGCTGGGAAGTCACTGTCCTGCCAAACGGAATTAGGGAGGCTCCTTCAGCTGTCAAAAGCCAGGTGGAGGTACCTGGGAAGGACTTCCAGGCAGGTAAGGAGGACAATAAAGACAATTTCTAGGCCAGAACAGAGACTGTGAGCCTGAAACTGGTGTGCACCCAACCACCATCTGTCCTTGTGTCAGTGGAGCACCACGAGGAGAGAACCACGACTGGGATCTCAGGAGCAGAAGTGTGGGATGCTCCAACGTGGACTTGGAAGAAGGAGAAGGAAAGGGAGGGAGAAAAATCCTGTGCAGAAATTTTAGAAAATGAGGGAAGACTGCTGATAGCCATAAACCAATGTTCACTAGCACAGGTAATGTCCAGAACAGGGAACAGAGACCAGCTTTTGCAGCTCATGATCTCCAGCACCTCAGAGCTCCCTGAAGGAAAGGAGTCCTGGAGGCCACGAGCAGTCCAGCTGCTCCCAGGGCTCCTGCTGGATATACTCCTGCCTGGGGCTTGAAATGGAGGTCCTGGAATCCCCTGCTGACTCCAGTCTTTGCCAGAGCAATGCTCTGGTGGCTTTTGAAGGCTGGAATTGCTAAAACCCGTGTTCAGCCGGGTCAGTTCCCTCTGGCCCAACTCCCTGGGTTTCTCTGGTGTTTCAGTCGTTGAACCCCAGAATCATTAAGGGCAGAAAAGACCTCCAAGGCCATCAAGTCCAACCTTTGATTGAACAGCCCCAGAACTGCCATCCCATGCCCACTAAACCATGTCACAAAGCACCACGTCTGCTCGTTCTTTGAACACCTTGGGGGTGGCGACTCCACCACTGCCCCGGGGAGCCTGTCCCAAAGTTCCTGTTACTGAGGGGATCCTGAATGCCATCAGAAATGACCCAAACAGGGAGAGTTTGGATGAATTAGCTCCCAGGAGTAGCTGACAAGATATGCAGTGCTGTGGAGAGGCAGCTGGAGAACATCTCCAGCTCTTTGATATGGGGGACAGCTGAGTTATGAATGTGGCTGCCCCTGTAGCTCAGTTTAGTTTAGTATAAAACTGTGTGTAGTGGTGCCAAACTTTCCTCTTTCAATCCTGCTTTCATTTTCCAGTTTGTTCAGATATATTTTCCTCCTTCATTTCATGCTTTAGAGAAACACTTGTTTCTGTTTTGAGTTACTCTGCTGACTCTCCCCAGGGTATTTCCACCTGGCTCTTAAATGCTTGCAGGTATTTTCTGTGTGCTTAGGCAGCCATGAATTTGGCTCACAGTGCTCAGGACATGGAGTGCTCTGGAAAGCAGCATTGCTCATCTGCAGGGTGCAAACTCAGGGAATGATGATTTAATTAGATTGGGAGCACTACTTAAAAGCAAAATTGGAACCTAATGCATCTGTCTTCAAAATACACTTCAGCATTACATAAGAAGCCCATAATAACGTCA